CTGCTGCGATCAGAGAATTAATGTTTTTTTGGTCTCGTGACAAGGAAATCTAGCTAGCCAGTGAATTTGTTGAGCAAAAAAAGGCTCGTAAAAATTTGGTAGCTATTTTTAAATAAAGTTGAAAATTGGCAGCCAGAAAGGGAGAAATTGCAGCCAAATATATCGACGAATCATTCGGTTGGCATTTAAACGACACACGGTCGACAAAGCACAGTCGAGAGAAAATGCATATGCATTCTCTCGATGTCGGCTTTAATAGACTAGTGGTATTTTTACTTCAAATGAACTTCGCACCACAGACCACACCGGAACCAGAGAACAGCGCTCGTGTCTGGCTGTAACATGAGGGCATAATGTGTACAACATATATCGTATAATTGGTATGCCACGCATTTGAACTACACCTGAAAAACACGCCAAATGAACGATGATTAAAAACAGAAATGAAATGAAAAAAAAGGAATCAGAACATTCTGTAGCATTCGGCGTTGTCCTTTCAAGATGAGCAAAAAATACGGTTTTTAGATGATAAATTATTGTCTGGTAAGCAAACGAAGAATGTTGTTCAGTTTTGGCACGTGCGATTCTGGCAACTGATCACTCTCGGTCAATCAATTATTTAGAACGTATGGATGTGAACCAATTTTTCTGATTAAAATGATTGCATTTTGAGCTTAAGTGAACGAATAGTTTAGCATCTCTTTTTGCCTTTTATGAAAAAGAGCCTTAAATTCCATTCGACAGAGAATTTCCTGCACAAAGAAGTGTGTCCCGTTTTGGGCCATTTTGTATAGAGTTCTAACGCATATCAACTTAAAGGGTAATGTGTGTGGATAAATTATATATAGATACCCATCCCCTAAATTGTGAGGAAAGGGGTTAAAATTGGGGATATGTTGGCAACCCCAAAATAAAGGTATCACTTCCCAGGGCCATAGTTCCCTAACTATGGGAGGTAGGGCAATACTCCTTGGGTCAGAGTTGTAGTACTCATGAATACCTATCCAACGGTATACATAATATTTCCATTTGTTCATAGTAAATGAAAAATACGGTTATATGAAAAAATGTTATTTTTTGGGTAAAAAAATCATATTATACCCATTTTCTGGGGCTGGGGCAGGGGCTCTCACTTGGGTATGTTCAACAAAGTTGTACAACGTTCCAAGATGAACAATATTGCTTCAGACCATTTTGCCCCATCTCCTTCAAAAATGGGTCTACGGCCCTTTACTCTCATAAAATTTCAGCCTGGTACAAAGGGCGGTGTTCCTTTTTGTGTCGTACGATGTTTATCAATAAGATTTATACCGTGGAACAGTGGGGCATAGTGGGTATGTCGATAATATCAAGGTTGACCTGCCCTACAGGGTGTAAACGGGGTGTTATAGGGGTGAGTAATTTTTTCAATACCGACACATTGTTGGTCAAGAAATAAACCATTTAGTGGATAACTATGTATGGACGAAGTGTTCAGGGCGTTGCATAATATCTTGGGTGAGGTCGCTCTTACAACTTTGTTGAACATACCCAAGTGATAGCCCCTGCCACAGCCCCAGAAAATGGGTATAATATGATTTTTTTACCCAAAAAATAACATTTTTTCATATAACCGTATTTTTCATTTACTATGAACAAATGGAAATATTATGTATACCGTTGGATAGGTATTCATGAGTACTACAACTCTGACCCAAGGAGTATTGCCCTACCTCCCATAGTTAGGGAACTATGGCCCTGGGAAGTGATACCTTTATTTTGGGGTTGCCAACATATCCCCAATTTTAACCCCTTTCCTCACAATTTAGGGGTTGGGTATCTATATATAATTTATCTACACACATTACCTTTTAAGTTGATATGCGTTAGAACTCTATACAAAATGGCCCAAGATCCATACAGAACGGGACATACTTCTTTCTCTGACCACAATGTGAGAGACCGCGCGCACACAACTCATTTCCACTGTCACCATAAAAATCGCTACTTTAGTTGATCCTTGGCGTTGAACACACGCTACCTGTTCTCTGCACTTGTTGGACTTTTTTTTCTACACTTACTAATTAATAAAAGTGCAATAATTCAGCTCATCGTTCTTTCGCATGCTAGATACCACTTGCCGTTCTTATGTTACTAATTTTTTCCTCTCTCTTTTTTGTGTCTCCTCGCGACGTATTTCTTTTTTTCTTGGCTGTTGGTTCCTTTATTTGAAATTTTTTCGTTTCAAATCAGCAATCAGCTGTTGTTGTCATCTTATTTTAGTTATTTATATAATGAACATTTCTCATTTGTTCGTTCGTATAGTTACCCCTCTCATGTGATCGCTTCACTCTACCGCTGTTCGTCACTGTCGCAGCCGTGTGTATGCGCTCGCGCACACGCTCTCACTCTCACATATCGCCGAGAGAAAGAGCTCTATCATTTGCGCGTTATTTTAAACGACAATAAAATATTAAAATTAACGTTAAATCTATTTCGTTGCTTTCTGCTTTCGAACAACAGCCTTGGACTGAACACACTCTACGTACGTGTGCACAAAATATTTCGCTGCCTTTTTCTCGATTTTTCATAACTATTTAGACGAACACACGTACAAGAGCGAGAGAGCAATAAAAGAACCGAAATAGAAAAAGACAATAAATAAATTGCACGAAGAAATTGAAGAGAAGCAACCAAAAAAAGAAGTTTATTTTGTTGTGTGCGCGCGCGCTTGAGTGCGGTCTTACATTTTATAGCGCTGTGTGATGAACGACAAAAACAAGGAACAACAGCTGCTGCGCACTCATCTCTCATGTTATTCAAATTCATGACTTGGTTTGAAATAAGCCAACTTAAAAAAAACCTATAAATTCAGGCCAAAGCCATATGTGAAAAAGCCGATTGACCTGAAATTCGAGGCTTTCTCTTATCGATTCTTCAGCACTTCTTTGTGCTCAAAATGAACGCGATTGATTTACGTGTTTCTCGACAAAAGATAAGGTTACATTGTAGTGCTGAACATCGGACAGCTCCTCTGAAGTTTTACCGAGTGGACATCAGTTTTCTTTCTTATTTATACCACGAATCTGGTGCAATTTGACCCACTTCTCATCACCATCTTGAAATTTCATCGAGGCGAAATTTTTCATTTCTCTTCTTGAAATTCCTCCTTGATAAACGCTTATCCAACGCGTACGATTGCGATCAATGGGCAATGTTCCGGGAATATTGTACCCTTTATTTTATATGGAAAAGATCGTACACAATCGAAACTATATACTTGAAAATAGCGCTTCTACGGCTTCCCCCTTGGCCTTCTAACTGTGTTTGTAGATTTTTCCGACCATACACACAGAAAAGAATCCCCGGAAATTTTGGGTGTTCGCCGTAAAATTTGACATTTATATATAAATTTCTATATACATTTTACCGGCAACACTTCAATTTTCCGGGCGATGACATATTTTTGAACATTTTATCAAATACTATATATATTTTACCGCTTGAAATGACAGATGGCGCTAATTTCTGTTGGAATATTTGAAATTATGTCATCGCCCGGAAAATTCAAGTGTTGCCGGTAAAATGTACATAGAAATTTATATATAAATGTCAAATTTTACGGCGAACACCTTAAATTTCCGGGGATTCTTTTCTGTGTGTATCATCACAAATGTGGACTTTTTCGACCATGCCATCACAAAAAGTTGAATAAAACTACTTTTTCACGAAAATTTCTAACTGAAACTTTGGGAATACTCCTTTGATCATTAAATTTATTATTGAGAAAAAGAAACATTGTTAAAAGTGCATTAATTTTTCTAATAAAATTATACCCATCTAACTGTGCTATGGTATGAAAAAGTTTACATGTGTTTTCTAATCACAAATGAGTTTTCTTGTGACTTTTACGCTTGTACAATTACTTTGGAGTGGCGGTCACAACGGTCCCCTTACTTTGAGGTCTTATTGACTCTTGAAAAAAGGTTGAAACAGATTTCATGCATATTCGAGTCCTTTCAAACACATGCAAATACCAATACCTATTAACCGTTTGTCTGTAATAAGTCGAAAGTTACAAATGCTGTAATTTGTGGTCATATGGACCCCAACGAAAAATCGATAAACATGGATCAAAAATAAATTTTTTCTTAAAAATATTGTTTTGATACAATAATTCAAGGCATTCTTCATCTTTTATGCCTATTTTTGTCAATATTGACCCAAAAATTACTTAGATATGATGATTTTAAAAACATCATACTAGTCCGCCACCTTGAATCATTTGGCAGATACACATTTTTGACTTTATTTTGCTTCATTTTCAAAAAATCTATGAATATTTGTGAAAAAAGTTTATGTTTTTTGAAAGGGCATATCAAAAGGAATAAAATAAGTACCATATCGAGTTGATGTGAGCTATACATGGGAAAATTTGGACCAATAAGATGTAATAATTCGATGAAAACTGGAATTTCATCAATTTAGGTGCCATTTTGAAGTGATCAAAACAATGAAACTACTTGTCGTATCTGAACAAAATATGGCTAAAAATGAAGATTTTAAAAAGATTCTTGATTTAATGAGATAAAATAAGATTTTAGCAATAATATGGGCACTTTAATTTGGGGTCCATATGACCCCATCTTACAGCATTTATAAGTTTTCTCTTCAAGTCAGGATATCTCGGGTTTTTATGGACCGATTTTGACAAATAAGTGCTCAAAACGCGTGTTTCTACTAGATTGAAGATGTCAATAAATTATAACATCATACAACTTGAAATTGAAAAGTTATAGCGAATTTAGAGTATCTGGGGTCATATAGACCCCACATTACAGACAAACAGTTAAAAGCGACCAAGAAAGTAAAGAAAAATAAATAAAAAAATCTAAACAAAAACCATTTTCCCAGCTTCAAACGAAAAACAGAAATACACACCTCATCTCAACTGGCGACCAGCTGTCTTCGCCATAAATAACTTGTAGTAAACAGAAGAAAAAAACTGCAGCTTTAAAGTATTTTTTGTTGTCATTTTTTTTATTTCATCCAAGAAAAAAAAAATAAAATCGCTAGGAAACTAAAAAAATTATAATGTATTTTCATTCCTTCCTTTTTAACAGAAAAAAACTATGATACATATTTTAAACACGTTTGATTTTGTAGTATTTTTTTTTAAATACGTAATGAAATAAAATTACATAAAGACAAAAAGGAAACATTTTCCAAACCAAAAACAATCAAAGAAGGAGAAGAAGAGAAAATAGAAAAAAAAATTAATATTTTTTGTGTGTCAACAAATTAGTTAGGATTATCTTCTCTATCTACTTGTTTATCATCAAATCACAAAAAAATCAAATCGTTTGTTCTACCAGTGGTAGTATCATTCGTATAACGGCTTAACACAATTTTGTTTTTGAGGAAAAAAGGAAGCAGTGTGTGAGAGAAAAAAAAACATGAAATGAAAAGAAAGTTTGATACAGAATCAGATCAAAAAGAATTAGAAGAAAACGCAGGAAAAAAAGAAGAAAAAGAAGAAGGAGAAGAAGAAAAAACGCAAATGAAACGCGGATCAGAGGAGACATACCATCCATTTTTGCGGTTAGTTCTTTGTGTTGTTGTTTCGTTTTCTCGTTTACAATGTCTATGCCAAACTAATATAAACAATTCGAGAAACGGGTGTGCAAGATATGAGAGTATCGCATTTATATATAATGTTTTCCGTTTTTATGGAACATCGTACGTAAATATGTGAAAAAATTGGCGGAGATCGGTGCGGTTGACGTTTCAAAAAGTCAATTTGTCGCTTGAAATTTCATCACTTATATCAATTTTGTAGATAGATATATATTCCTTCGTTTTTTTTGTTTTGTTTTGTTTATATCTCTTGTCTCTTACTTTAATTCCATTTGCATTTCGGTGTGTGTTTTTCTTTGTTTGGCATAGTTCAATCTCTCTCTCAATCCCATTCTCACTCTGATTTTTCCGTTGCGTTTCAATTGGCTATGTTTGAAATTTTCATTATGGCCTGATATCGTTTTTATTTTCTTGTTTTGTTTTGTCTCAAACACAAATTTCCAAAACGTTTAGGTGAAGTGATAAGTGGTGGCCGTATTTCATACATATCATATCAACTGGTGTGTGTGTGTGTGTCCGTGTGTATCAAAGAATGCATCCGTCGTTAGTTTTTCTTCATTCGAATAGTTTTAAATAGTTGCAAGTGGTTGTTTTCTGTTTTCTTCATCACCATATTTGTTTATCCGATTTCATAATAATTTTTTTTTCTCATTTTTAATTAATTACAAAATATTTTTTTTTCTTTATGTGTAAAAGTGTGTGTTTGTGGAATTATCGATTATTTTTGTCGCTCTTTTTCTTCTGATTTTTTTTTATTCTGTCAGCTAGTACGTAGTTACTTGACTAGCAGTGTGTTGCATCGCACATTGCAAGCACACATCTTATTCACGAATGGAACGTGGCTGAACGACTGCAAATGAAATGGAAACAGTGGTCAAAATAAATCAATCAATCAAAGTAGTTTGTGTTTTAAATGCATTCACTTACAGTGTGGTCGATCTTCGTTCATTGGGGCTTCGGCGACTTCCTTTTGCATCATATCAACGGGAATGTTTACTGGTGTAATGAGGCTGCGTCCATAGGCGGTACGTCCAACTTGCAAGATTCGTGAATCTCTGCAATGAAAACGTGTAAAAAGAAATGAGTTTCATTCTGCTGTTTGATTAGATAGCAAGTGACTTACGTGTCTTTGTCATTTTGAGAATCAATATCATCGGAATCGTCTTCATTCATTTGATTTGGTTTTGATGCCTCGCTCTTATCGTCTTCATTTGATTGAGTTTGAGCATCCATTTCTGAGAACAACAAAAATTCGGCACAACTTTAATTTCTAGTTCAAATCATGGTTTGACTTATGCATGAATGCGACTCTAACTGACTTACGTTTGGGTTCGTCTGTTTTTGGTTGTTCCGGTTGTTGTTGGTTGTTTGTGGGCATGTTGTTCATTGCACTCTCGTCTGAGCTGTCATCATCGTCATTTTCCGAGCTGTTTGAGTCGTTGCTGAGGTCTTCTTGGGCGTCTTGGGCAAGTGATCGCAATTCTTGTTCGATACGCTCTTGGGCCAAACGTTGAATGTTCATCAAATCCTCGTTGGTCAAACCGAATGATTCACGCAACAAAGCGGCTTCACGTGGTGGGAAATTGGATTGTGGTTCACGTTCTTGTGGTACCGATTGCAAGCGAATGGCTTGGATTGGACGGATCACATTTGGACGGGCTTGAAGTACTTCAATTGGGATTTCACGTACTTGAACTGTCTCTTCATCACGTTGCAATGGGATGCGTTGCAAATGAATGCGGATTTCGCCTGAAAATGTAAAACGATTTGTTATGAAACACACATCGAAAAAAAAAACGATTTAATGTGATCGCATCAATCAAGTCACGCCGTGTGGTTAAGTTACCATTGACTGGTTGTTGTGGTTGATTGTGTTGTGGTTGGTCTGGAATTGGAAATTGATGCACCATTGCTGGACGGATCATGATTGGACCTGGACCAAGTGGCACCTGTTGGTATAGTTTGGACTCATAAATAGTGACCAATAAGATAGTTACTACTTATTACTAATAACTTTGAATAACTAGTAATAAAATGCAATCGAATGCCAAATTATACCTGTTGAGCTTGTTGATGAGCTTGTTGCTGGGCTTGTTGTTGGGCTTGCTGTTGCTGAAGAGCGACGATTTGGCGAATAACGAATGGAATTTGTGGTGGTAATTGTTGCATTTGTGGTTGTTGTTGTTGCATTTGTGGCTGTTGTGGTGGCATCATATGTTGAGCTGGCATCATCATTTGCTGTTGTGGCATATGAGTGAGTGGGTATTGTTGTGGGATAGCACCGAATGGGATTGGTAGTCGTTGCACTGGAACTTCACGTGGTTCAGCTGAATCATCATCGTCGTTATCATCTCTGCATTACACAAAATTGTATATGAGAGCTTTGCTCGCCCGAGAAATCAGGGAAATGTGAAATAACAAAAAAAAATGTAAAATTACTTGATTGCATTGCCGCTTTCACAGAAAATGGCCATTCGTTCACCGGTAACACGTTTCTTTGGCTCACTGTTGAAGTTGAATCCGAATGGCGTCATTTTTGGTGCGTTATCAAGCAATTCTTCGGCACGACGGCGCTCAATAACACAGTTCATGCGTGATCTGTAATACAATATCAACGTTGAATTCCGGAAAAAAAGAAGAGAAATTGTAAATAAGCCGTGAAAAAAATTCCAAAAAATTATCGATTTAATCTGTCAAAAGTGACGTAGAGGCAGATGTTCGGAATAAATAGCAGGAAAATGTTGCGCTTACTTTTGATTTTGTTGGAGAATTGCGTTGGCCAAATCGCTGAGGCTTAATTCCAATGGCATTTTGATTTGGACACGATTCAATTCTTCGGCTTCATCACTTTCCGAAAATGAATTGTCTGATGACGATGAGTCGGAGTCGCTGCCGCTAGCGGCAGCTTTCGTCTTTTGCTTAACATTTTCCGTGTCTTTCTTGATGTTGTCCAATGATTGCATGTCATTGTCCGATGCTAAGTCACGACCCGACAACAATGCCTCGGCCTTTGGCAACTCCTATGGATAACCGAGTTTGAGATGGAAAAACGAGTGCAAAAACATCAAATTAGCAATCATCACATTTTCAGGTAGATTTAATTGAATTTTCATGTGTAAATTGATCAGTTTCGAGCGGAAAAAAAAGAAAGCGATAGCATGAAAAATTTGGAATTACATGATTGAAAAACGGTTGTTTTAAGAAAATGTAATTGTGTTTTGTAAAATAAATCATAATCAGCTGTGACTTTATGGAGATGTCGAACAATTCATTTATCTTCGTCAAGCATTCGGCAAAATTTTGCAAACTAATTGACATTGTTGACCGCGCGGCATGCGCGCTCGTAAAAACCCTCTTCCAACCTAATCGTCAGTGGCGATAAAAAATTTCAATTAACAATTATCATCGTAATATAATAGTTTGTTTCCCACTTGAAAGCATCGTTCAACATGTGATCTCGCGGTTCGTCAATAAATTGCCTCGTTTTCCCACGTTTCATTCAATTTGGTTAACGGGTTTCAGATTAAATTGGCAAATGAAATAAATGAAGGCAAAAGGCGAATTTGGTGAAGGGTTTGAAATGCGTTCACAAACACAACCAGTCAATCGACCAAAAGCAAGCAAAATGATCAAAGAAGAGCGTCGAATCTATTCACCTGGAAAACAATGCAATTGATGTTGAAAGGCGGAAACAACGAATAACGAGCCAATTTTTCAATGTAAACATATGGCGCTAGCGCAAGATTCAAAATTTGAATCGCGGGGTGCACAATAATTTCGCTTTTAAATCATGTTCAATTGAATGTGTTTTTGATTGAATCAAATTTGATTCGTTACCGTAGGTGCTCTCTTTGAGTGGCGTCGTAGTGTGTGTATCTTTTGTCTGTTTCTCGCTTCTTTTTCGGACGCAGAAATGTGGAAAGTTTGAACACAGACACTCTACCTAGCGATCAGTCAAAAATTAGAAAGAAATTATATGTGTCGAAGCCCCGAGATCTATGAAGACAATTCAATCGAATCCTTTCCGATTCACTGGTTTTTTCTATCGACCGATAAATTGAATTCAATCAGCGTGTCGATAATTGTGTCGTCCATTAAACGTGAATTTTGCACGTACGTGGCAAATCGTAGACAAAAAGCCGTTTGAAAGGTTGAACAAGGCAACATGGAAATAACCAAGAGAGAGAGAGAGAGAGAGAGAGAGATTTCCGTTAGCCACATTAAACGCTCGTAAATCACACAAATTCATTTTATTTTGCTACTGCATTAAAATACTGGCACTGACGTGGATTACGAAACACTTTTGCATTTTTCTTTCAACATCTTTCTGCCCAAACGCGAAATCCATTCCTTTTTTGAAGAAAATTTGAAGAATTTCATGGGTCTATGATTTTAATCAAGACGTGAATGTGTCGGTACGTACGTGTGTGTGCAAGCGTTTTGTAAATCGACACTCAGATATTGTACCAGTCTCACACTCACATTCCGGCCCATATGATTAAAATCTATTTCGATTCGGAACATTTGCATGGTTTCCAAATGATACACGCGTACGTTTAAATTGGCGAATATGTTCACATGTTCAACGATATTCTAGCAGCAACCAAAAATGATTCCAATCAAACAACAAAAATGATGATTGGCCAGGCGAGGTAATTAACCTTTTACGAAACGTGCTCGGCACAAATCTGCGAGAAAGAGAGAGAGAGGCAGATCCATTGTGTGTTTGAACCGCATGGCGCACAGCATCGAACATCCCAAAAAATGACACAATAAGCACACTGCACACGCTCAAAAATCCACTGTTGTTGTTGCTTTTTTCTTTCAAAACATACAAAATCCGCTTCGAGTTATCAGATAGCGTTCACAATTCTCTCTCTCTCTCGCTGGTTTAAACATTGCATTACACAAGAATACAACGGCAAATTAATTGCAGCAGGTTTTTGGCCTGTTTGGCGATAACATCAATTTGTGAGTATGCAAATCTAATGGCCAAAACAACAATAATAATCAAAAAAATCGACCTTTTTTCAATGGATAATTGTGGTGAGCGGCATAGAATTTCAATTGAATTTCAACACTTGTACTGCAAAATGAACGCGATGGCATTGTGTCATCGCCGAAATAAAATCGAAAGAAAGAGTGAGAAGAGACGAGCAGCAACGGGCATGCGAACAAATCAGAACATTTCATAATAGCTCGTCGCGGTCAAGTTACGCCTTAGATTTTGCGTACAATAAACCTGTGCCATGATAATCAGTTGTATACACCATAGTGGTCTTCCGTATTGCTATGGCCATCAATTACAATTAAAATCATCAAATTGTAATTTGTGGTTACCAATAGACCTGTGCTTATGTCGAAATTTGCGACTCCAGAGGAGTATTACAATCGCACACTGGCTAGTTTGCTGGCATGTGCACTGAGCAATCAACAAATTAATCGATTGCAATCATTAATGGCAACAATTGATGACAGTAAATGACATGCACATGTGATTGCATTGCCGATGTTTGACACACACACACACAGACACACACACCCAGTACAACACTTCGGTGAAGTTTCGCGTTCGAAACAAATGTGTTTGTGTGACAATAAAAAAAAACAGCCGCAATTCACCCAGTTATTTTATGTGTCGTTTATGCGAGCGAACATCTGTTTTGTCTTTCTACTCATTTGCACTTATGTTGAAAATCGCAAATTCATCAGTTCGTTGGTTTTTATTTTGCATCACAGTATCAGTGATATGCGCACGATGACGGTTTGCACCAATCCATACAGCTGTTTTTCTTTTATTTCAGCCACATTAGAAACGGGTTTGACTAAGCGTGTCTCTCTTTATTTTTCACTTATCTTGAAACTGGCTTGTGTGTATACGTTTCCCTGGGCTCAGTCAGCCAGCCAACTCGATTCTCGTTCAATTTGTTTCACTGATATCAACCGAACACGCAATTCAAGTCGCTCACACACAACTTTGGAGTGACTGCATCTCGATGATTGTCGCCACTTTTCACCATTGACACTCGATCACTTCTGTTTGACGTGATTTTCTCTCTATCTCTCTCTATGCTCTCAATCTCTCCCTGAAATATCAGATGCAAATTTCATTATGCAATGCGTAACTGTTTCTATTAATTGTCTTTGTCAATATGTATGACAGAAGAGATTAAGCCTTTGTTTTCGATCAGATGCTAGGTCACAGTAGATATAATATCTGCATTCAATTGCAAGTGATCAACGATTTGATGTTATCGACACTTTTAGTGAGTGCAAATTTACAATCCGCATTTATGTAATTCCCATTTAGATTGCATTCGAACTGGCGAAAAACTTTCACGAAATTATCTGGTCGGTTAGAATGGGTGCTTTGCTTTTCTCAAGAAGTGAAAATCAGCTGCAATTCAAATAGCAACAACACCGTCCATCGATGCATGGCTTCATCGGTTTGACTCAATCAAGACAAAGACATAGATAAAGACAAATCAAAACTTTCCTTTTTTGCAATGTGATCAAAAGTGTTCATCGATGATTTTTTCTAATGATAAGTCTTGGTTCCCATCAAAAAGCGGCCCAATTCATCCACGGATGAACTTGAATTGAATGCGAGCGCTCGTCCCTCAATTATCATTGGCATTTGTTATACTATAACTTGTCAGAACAGTTCAATTAGTGACATTCAGTTGATTTTGTATGAAAAATGGGCAAATTTAATATTTCTCCCTTTTTCCAGTACTTTTGTACGGAAAAGTGAGTTTTTTCTAATATTTCTCGCCGGGAATGTTATTTATTTTGCATTTCTCGTCGTTTTGTGCCAAACAGATCTGGGAATAGTGATAATTGCAAAATCCGAGGTCAATCCCAAATTTTGAAATAGACTGATTTTCAGAAAAAAATATTCAGTCTATTCTGAAAAATAGAGCAGATACATGAAATCGGACACTGCCAACTTCTTCATTAGGGGTGTGCAAACATATGCTTCCATACATCGAGATCGGAGTTTGGCTATACCTTTCGCTCCACGGGTCATTTTATGAATTTTTGAGGAAGAAAGGTGTTCAGAAAATAGAAATACGGGAGTAGTAGCGAATCTCAGAATAGGTTTCTGATAACCGCAACCCTTTTTCATAAAACGCCGGAGCATCACCAAAATCACAACCTCAATTTATTTTGGGACAGTCTAGTGTGTATGTGCGACTGAAAGACACACTGAAGCTCGCTTCGATTGTATGTTTGGTTTTTTCGCCGAGCTTTCAAAATGCTTTTAAATCATTTGTGAAATTCGCGAAATGATTAAGTTGAAATTTCATCAGAACAACGATGCAAAATTGATGCTGTCGCTCTCATTTCACATTCTTTTTTGCTCTTTGCTCGCTTTTTTTGTGTTGCTTTTAAATTTCCACGGTTTGTTTTGATATTTTCGTCAATCGCAAATTCCATAGACGAGAGCACAATTAAGCGAGATCAGCAGCAGAAAAAAAAAAGAAACGGAGGCGACGTAAGCGTGCGCGCAAGTAAGCAAGCAAGCAAGCAAACAAGCGAGCGAGTGAGCCCCAAACGAACACGATGGAAACATATTTAGATAATAATAATTCTATTTGCAATATACTCTACCGAACGGGCTTAAAATAAACCACAACAACAACAACAACGGCAGCATCAGCAATAACAAAATGAGAATACGTTCGGCCATAAAATTGGCCGTTGTTTGTTGTTGTGGCCATAGTATTAGTGAGGGAAATGGCATAAAGGCAAATATGTTCGCGAACATTGTATTATTTTGTCGATAGAGCTGAGGTGCACGAATCCGTTTAAAATAGAGGAGAAGAAAAATACACTCATAATAAGAAAAGCGAACAACTACCGTTCACTTTCGAGCAAATGCCTGATTAATTTATTATTGGTAAGTTTTCTATTTATTTATTGTTATTTATGGATTTATTTCTTTTTCTTCATAAAAAGAATGATAACAACAACGAAACAAAAATGGTGCATCGTAAAATACATTTTGGCTAGTCAA